AGACCAGTGCCCTTTTGCCCCTACAGTACCTATGCAGATGCTCCTTTTCAAATTACACTGAGGGCAGGAGCCTGAAGGAGCTCCAGTGCAGTACTTCAGTTCTGTAAATGAAAATAGGTCTCCTGAAATCGATTTCTTCCTGGCCCATATTGTTCATTTGCATAAAACATATAGCTGCAAAAATTAAGTACATTTAATCCATGTTTTGGATAACTAAAAATCCCACAGAAATATTTTGGAACACAATTAAAACTGAATGCTCCTGAAAATTTACTGAGTTGTCAATCTTAATTATATGCTGCAGGGTTTTTTTTATCCTATTATATGGCACTTGTTCATTTAGTAAACCAAATTGACGTTAAGTAGCTATTCTGTAACACTATAGAGACTGCCAAATACTAGCGGTGGGAAAAATTACCTTGATCTAGCCTTTGCCTACTTGGCTGGGGTTCCTGTAGGAGGTAAGTCACACTTTTATGTACAGCTTGGGTACTTTATGTTTAAAGGATCTATAAAAAGACACAGTGCCAAAATAAATTTATAAAACCTGTATATGAGATTTTTCCAAGCTGTATGGGAGGTTTAAATAAGCTCTACTAACCATAATTTTAAAGCAGTACCACCTTGAAAGTTCCAAAATATTTTCATTTCATTTTACCTCACATGAGCACATCTTGCTAAACTGTAATACATCAATGCAAACCAGGCACAGGGATATTCTGTATTATTTCCTACTTGCTGAATAAACTTAATGAAATTCAATGCTCTTTTGACTGTGGAAAAAGTGGACTATGGAATAAGCTTCTTGAATTTTATTATTGCTTGTTCAGGCGTCGGTCTTATAAGCTGACATCTCTCCCAGCACAACTCCTGCATCTAGCAAAACTTCAGTAACAAGCGTATGTTTACAGACCCGTACAGACAGCTGGACTATGGAAGGTATCACGCAGATGCTGCGCATGTAATTTTTAAGTACCTACCACCATCTAGAGGAAATACATTGTACTGCCTAAAAACCAGCAGTAGAAAATCAAGTTCAGTGCTTTTCAAATGAGTGGGTATCAAACAAAACAGATGGCCTTAATGTCTGTCTGACTACATTGCCCATGCTGTTCCACTCCCGACCTCCCCACAGGTTGAAGAGAAAGGCTGCCTTTCAGTTCCAGCAGCTACCACAGTTGGGCTTTTATCTCAGGTAGGAAAAAAAGAGTGAGATTTCCTCTTAAAAAAAACCAAACAAACAAAAAAACCCCACAATAGCTAACTGAATCTCGTTGAATATTCTTAGATCACAGTGATAAGTTTTTTCCTTGTTCATAAGGCTCCCGGGCTAGCTTCAGCAACAGCTAACTCCGACTTCTACTTGTGTAAAACTTGTATACACATCCCTACGCCAAGATGCAATGTCCGGTCAGCTGGGCTGGAGGGGAAGCAGAGGCAGACTGTGACCCACCAGCCTGCTGCCTGCGCAAGCTCCAGCAGCAACCTCGCGCCGTCCCACCCGCTCCCACAGCCCAGCGGTCCCCAGCGCTCAGCAGTAACGCCGGAGGGATGGCAGCAACGGGAATCGCGCTTCCTCCCGCTCCTCAAGTCACAGCGGAACAGGCTGGCAAAACAGAAGTGGCACCAGCCTCCAGCTGGTTTGGGTGAGCCCAGCCATAAAAGGCAAATCATAAGAAAGAGAGAGGGAGAAACACCAAATCCTACACAAGTACTTACATGTCTTTTCTGTTCGGTGCACGGGAACACATTAAAACTCAGACATTTAAATCATTCAAAAAAAACCCCTGCAATGCTTATTTTTACTGTTTGCACCATTTTTTAAATTCTCTGTTTATTTCTTTGGGAAATGACAGCAGATCATTTGGTTTCATACACAGGCCATAGCAGCAGCTCAAAATGCAAACTTCCAGAGGAGTCTCCGTCACTTAAAAAGTGAACTAAGCACAAGTAAAACTCATAGAATAATTTATATGGAAAAGAAAAAGAAAAAAAAACCTGAAAGGAAATAGAGGAGACCAAGGGCAGATACTAGGACAGACTACAATATGTGCATAGGTTTTACTGAAAAAAACAAACCAGAGGTGAATAGCAGCTATCAAACACAACACCCCAAAACCACTCTATGCCAGCAGGATAGCTACAGGGGCAGTGCTGGTGCAAATGAAGATGCTCTCCACTTCATTATCTGGCCTGTAGACCAGTCTAATCCTCTAAAAAGGAGGTTCATGTTTCTGATTAAGTTCTCTGAGTAGTCCTACATTTTCCTTCTCTCTACCTTGCTTCAAAAACCACAGTATGTAATAGTCTAATACTTGTGCAAAGAGGGACTACGTTTCCCCTGACATTTATCTACCAGCCACTCAATCTGGACTTTTACTCAGTGCTGAGAACCCAAAGCGCACAGTTTTTCTATCCATGGGTGCTTGTTTGGTTGAGTTTTTTTGAACACACCTTCCCCCAACCCCCGCCAAAAAAAGAAGAGACCTGAACAGACCTGATCTCTAACCTTTGTCCATCTCACATTTCACAAGGGTCAGACAAAGCTGCTCTTTGGAAACTCAGGCTGGACGTATAAAGACCCTGTTTGGATAGACCCATCCACTCAGAAGGACAAAAATAAAACAGATGGGCCCTAATGTACAAAGAGCTGATGTGGGGATTTATTTAATATTTTTTTTAAAACACAAATATATTCCTTCCTCTCAGAGATCTTAACGCCTATTTATGGCATTTTTCAGACCCTCAAACCATTGGAAGGAGGCACTCTCCTGATAGTCAACTCTTCCATCAGATAGCTCAAAACAAGGGGCAGGGGGGAAATATCGAGCAGGATCCTGAACAGAAGATGAACTCAAGCAGGAAGAAGTTCCTTCATGTTCAAATTATATGCAACACACAAAACATTATCTTTTTTCAAAAGCTTTAACGTGCTTGGAAAAACAGTTTACAGATTCTCTTTTTAAAGAATCAGGATTTGACAGAAGTATTGTCCAGCAAGAAAAGAAATAGTGAAGAGAAGAATAATGTAGTCATTACGTCCAAATATAAAACCAGAACAATTTTTAGCGTTACTGAGTACTGAAACAACCCCATAACTTCCATCCCTCACCACAAAAAAAAAAACAACTCTTCTCTTTGAAATACAAATAAGCTCTACTACGTTGTCTTTTATGATCAGTTGTCTCGGGTTTTACAGCATGACTGTTTGGAAAACCCTCTGATAAGAAGCAAACACCACTTTGCACACACAAGACACCAGGACTAGGGAGAGGAGAGGAGATTTCCAAAGGGAGTGGAGGAACGGCAGGGAGAAGGCAGCAGGAAGAAACAACCCGCCAGCATTTCTGCTGATGCTTTCCACTTTTGCGTGCATAAGCGCAACCACCTTTCCTAAGCCGCCCAGTCATTTCCACTGGCAGCTGGCCCTCCCGGCCCCAGGGAGCCCGGCCCCTGCTCCTGAGAAGCCGCAGCTTCGAGGGGAGCCAGCGGAGGCTTCCAGGGGCAGAGGGGGCAAGGCAGGGTGGGGGTGCGCACTGCCCGCCACCCCCTCACGCCCGCACCTCGACTCTACAGCCCTGGCTCTAAGCAGGCAAAGAGGAACATTCTCACGTCTTGCAAACCAACAGCGTGTATCTCATTGACCGCAGTGCCGGGTGGACTAGGGACGAAAAGGCAGGCTCCCGCCCACGTAACGGGTTCCTCACCAACTTGCATCAAGGACGTAGGTGAGACGGGAGGGAAAGACCTGAGCGGGTTACAGTCCTTCAGCAGAACCTGCTCGCAGGTGCGGCTTGAAATGGGAGCGGTGGCCCTGCACAGGCGCCGGGCCATTGCTAGTGGTCGCTGATGGGCAGCCCGCTGCTCCCGCATCCCACTGCTCCCGCATCCCGCCTCGCCACCACTTTTCACCCCGGCCTGCCCGGGAAGTGAACTCCCCTGCAGGCTCGCTGTCTGTATGCAAACTAGACAGGTTTAAGAGTATCCTATCCCCATTTTGCTCAAATCCACAAAGATTTGAATTAATGCCACACAAATGTAAAGTTAATGTCTCAAATCTAAGACTCAGTAACACAAATTGGCCCATCTAATGACCTCGGTTCCTACGTGGACGATAAAATCAGTACAATATGAATGCATGTTAATAGGCTCAGAGACTCTTGCAGCCACTGAGAAAACGTTTTTCAAAGAAATACTAAGTATCCTTTCAGAGACAGTTTCAATAAGAAACTGTTTCAACCATCTTTGTGTGTTCCGAAGACGGTTTTTTCTTTCCCCCCCCTACCAAAAAGTTGTTTCAGTAATACATAACTTAACATTTTACTACCAAGTTTAATCCTGAGTTGAAGCCGTATGCACTGCTTTATGTTGACTAGAGACAAAGAGAGAAACTCTGTCCCCTTCTGCTACTCTCCATTTGGGAGGGAGAGAAGCCAGGAGGCCTATATTTTAATGAAAATACTCAGAAGGAAAAACCACAACCAAGCGGAGAAAGCTCTGATGATGGATGTTGAACCCACACCAATGTATACCTGACTCCGCAGCACACACGGCTGAGCAGCTTACAGCAGAGTCTCATTTTTTTTACCCACTTACCACAAAACAGTGCCATCATCTAAAACAAAAAGTGCTGGATCCCTGCAGTGCAATTTGTGGGTTTTATGTACCTAGACATTTTAACAGAGCCCGCAGGATGACTGAATGCAATTTACATGGGTTCCAACATTTTTTTAAGATGGCTGAATGGTACAGTCTATCCAAGCTGCTACAGCAGCACGTTATTTAAGCATTAGCTTCATGGACTGCGATAATAAATGAGGCATCTGAAGCAGGCAACATTTGAATTTCAAACCACGGCAGCTTATGCTTTGCTGTACCCTCCTGATGGCTAGATCTGGGATGGATATTTTGCAAATGCTGACTGCCACGAAAAACTAAGAGGAAGAGAAAAAATTACCAGCCGTT